CAGAATATCCTGTCTGCTTCTTGTACTATGGATAACCACTAAGTTATAGTAGCTTTCTCTTACAACATTAGAAACATTTCAAAAATATCTAAATTCTTTCAAACTCTTCTCATCCCCAAGGGATAAATCCATAAAAATCACTCAGAATCCATTCACTGCTTTGGAATTTTGTAAAAAAAGAAATATGCTTTTCAGTAAAACTATCCAGTAAAAAATAGCTAAGCAAAAAAATGATTTTGCTGTTGTTTGGCTTTGCTTCGTTTACACAACACTCTCTTCCAAGCTGACTTTGCTCACATGTGAAACGTGCACACTGGTCTCCTCAGAAGGGCAGCATGCTGGAAGAGAGCTGAAAGTTACTCCGCGTGCACCATAGCCTTAAGACTCCGGGGTTCTTTATATTTAATAATCCACAAGATATCTGAGATGGTGGAATGAAAATTTTGCAGCCTATATAAAAATTTAAAGTTTCTCTTTCACTAATGATGCATAGTTTATGTCTTCCCATACTGACAGATAAAAACACATACATTCTCTAAGCACAAAGCCTATAATAACAAATAACTTTCTGCTTAAAGACAAAATTTCAATTAATAACCATGATGGGAATTTAGTTATTTAATTCAACCACTAATCTAATGTCATTGATAAATCTAGTTTTACCACATACCAGGGTTATATTCAGTGGACATGCATTAATAATCTACGCAGTTTAACACTACACCAGAAAAGAAACTGAATATAAAAATTCTCTTAATTTTTGGTAGTTTTCAAATTTCATGGCACCAATTACCAAAACAAGGAAAACCTGTAAAAACAGATTTTAAATAAAAAATTTTCAAAGTTTTTAAAACATTCTACCTTCCCAACAATAGGAGTGGAGGTTTCTTTCTTAACACTGTTCACTGCATCTTCTTTTTCTTTACTCTGCCGGCCTTCCTCATGAGCAGCTGCAGTTATATAAGGTTTGGCAACATTAAATAGTTCAGATCGAAAAGCATACTTCTGAGTGACCGTCCTACAGTTCCCTCCATCCTCCTTTGGCTCAGAGTCAGAAGCAGTAAAGGAAGCAGAGGATCCAAAAGAAGGCGCAGTCTCCATCCGGAGAGAATTGAAGCTCACAGGAGGGGACTTGTTTTTATTGTGTCGAGGCTCGTGACGTTGATGAACTTGATAGTTTATCTTGTTAATGAAAGAAAGATGATCCAGTAACCAACCAGGCGACAACTGCTGGATCACAGACATTCTTGCTCATAAAATCAAGCCTGAGAATTAGAAATCTGAAATCAAACTCATCTTTGAAGATCAAGTTTTGTTTTTTGTTTTTTGGTACAGGAATCAAACTCAAGACCTCGTGCTTGCCAGGCAGGCTCTGTGCCGCTGAGCTATATCCCTGGCCCAAAGATCAAGTTCTTAAACGCACTGTATTTCAATAAACTTGCACTTCATGTACACAGACTTGATAATACAAACCTATAAAAGAGAATTAGCATTCATAGGTCAATATATATCACAGCTCTAAGGAAAACTGCAAGGGTTTAATATAAATTTCAAAGTCAATCATTCAAATTTTTTAGTCAAGTTAGCCACAGAGGGCTTTAACTTGATGCTACTGCAACCCCAATCTGACCTTCCCGCTCTCCTCGTGATCCTCCAGCTTCACTGCGTTGGTCCTTGTGTCAACCCAGTAGGTCCTCGTTCTCTAGGAAAGCAAGTCATTGAATTCTGAAAGGTAAAAGTATCTTGTCAAATCAAATAACAGTATATACTACCTGCACGAATTCATCCTTTTTCATCAGATAAAGACAGCTAGAGGGGAGCCGGGGAGGTGGCTCAGTAGAATAAGTGCTTCCCTGGCAAGCTCAAGAGCCTGAGTTCAATCCCCGGTTCCGCAAAAAAAAAAAAAAAAAAAAAAGAGGATTTGGGTGAATTCAGAAATAGCCAACAAGCAAATGTAGAACTGTTAAAGGCGTTTACAGCATGGTCCAAACAGGATGCAGACTCCACAGCCCCAAAGTCTGATGCTGGTAGCCTCTCCAGGGCCACCTGGAGGTGACCGCTCTTTCACCACTGTAATCATGCTGTCCTTGTACAAAGACAGCTAGAGAGGGTCACAGAATTTCAAAAGGAGCTGTTAGCAGATCAGTGCTAGTATTTCCCAAATTACAAATGCTGCTATAGTAAGTGAAGCCAATCCTCCAAAATCATTGCCCTCTTGATCCATTTCTACCAGTGGAGAAACTGGGTTAAAAGATTGGGCTCATCAGAGCAAATGCAATTTGAATGGCACCCACACACACTAAGTCCTACCAAAACTACAAGGTTAATAGCCTGAATCTACTTCCAATAACTAGCTTTTTCCAAACTTCTTTATCTTTTGTTTTCAAAAGATGATTTACAGGGTGGTTGTTTTTTTTTTTTTTTTTTTTTTTTTGGGGGGGGGAGGGTTGTTTGTTTGCTTTTTGTATTTTAGGGAAGGGTATACAGGGTGTCCAGGGACTCACTACTAGATCAGACTCTTAGTGATTCTCCTGTTTACAGCCTCCCAAGTGCTGGGATTACAGGTGTGCGCCACCATGCCCAGTCTCAATTGCCCTTGGCCCCTGGGCCTGCTTGCAGGCATTTTAATCCGCTGAGCAATTTGATGGACCCTGGTTTACAGTTCTGAGTACGCCTCTCTAAATGCAATGGATAATTTAAGCAAGCGGGGAGACG